AGATCATGGAAGATATGCTTCGGTCATGTGTTCTTGATTTCAAGGGCCATTGGGAGGATTACTTGCCACTTGTGGAGTTTGCGTATAACAATAGTTTTCAGAAGACTATTGGTATGGCACCATTTGAGGCATTGTACGGTCGACCGTGTCGATCACCTGTTTGTTGGATGGAGGTTGGAGATAATCGATTCTTGGGTCCTAAGTTCATCAAGGATACCTCTGAAAAGATTACTCTTATTAAGGATCGCATGCGTACTGCTCAGAGTAGGCAGAAGAGTTATGCTGATCGGCGTACTCGTGCTTTGGAGTTTAGAGTTGGAGATCAGGTTCTCCTCAAAGTGTCACCTATGAAAGGTGTTATGCTCTTTGGGAAGAAAATGAAGTTGGCACCGCGGTTTGTCGGTCCATTCATGATTACGGATCGTGTTGGAGCTGTTGCTTATCGATTGGCACTTCCGGATACTTTGGATCGCGTCCACAACGTGTTTCATGTTTCCATGTTGCGGAAATTTCTGCGCGATGAAGATCGGTATCAGCATATCGATGTTGGGGAGATTGAGTTACAGCCGGATGCAACTTATTTGGAGCCGCCGTGTTGTATTGTCGACCGACGGGATCAGATCCTTCGTAACAAGGTTATCCCTTTGTTCGTGTTCAGTGGAATCATCACAATGAGGCTGAGTCTACGTGGGAACGGGAGGATGTCATTCGCTCGCAGTTTCCTGAAATATTAGAAAAAGGTAAGAGCGAATTCCGAGGACGGAATTCCTTTTTGTTAGGGGGGAAGAATGTAATACCCCTAATTTTTAAAGGATAGTCCTGGTATTTATTTATTTGTTTAATTGCATTTTATTTTATTTTATTGATTATTTGCTTGCTGGAATGTTTGAATTAATTTTGATTTTATTTAATTGTTATTTTAATTGGTTTTGGTTTTGTTTGAATTGATTAATTGAGTATTTTCATTTTTATGTTAATGGGTTGTTTTAAATGGACTTAATTTAATATATTTAACTTAATTGGTTTAATTTAAATGTTTAATTTTTTTTTTCACGGTGTAATTATTTTATTTATCTAAATTTAGGGTTTTAGGATTTATCGTTGGCCGACTTATAGTCAGAGTTGGAATAGGGTTTGGTAAATTGAAACCTATAAACACATGTACATACTGGGGCTTAGGGTTTTAGAAAACATAAAGCTACGTCTGTATCGCCAAGGGCTGCTAAGAAACAGAGCGTGAACTTGGGCAATTGGCAGAGCAGTTCATGGAAGACTACAGAAACTGTGGAATTAGAGTTTCAAAGTCTGAAACTCAAGGCAAGTCTTGTTCTTCTCTATCTCTCTAATCTGTGTTCTGTGCATGGTTAGGAAGACTCCAGGGATTAAACTAAGGCTTAATTATAACTTTTATGCATATTTAATCAATGTTTAACTTCATGGAATTGAACCTGTTCTTCGTTGATTCAGAAAGATAGTAAATAAACTGTAGTTCTGTAATTTTGCTCCGTTGTGTAGTTTTTTGTTTTCAATTCAAGTTTGATGATATATCATTGTTTTACAATCAATCTGGAACTGAATTAGGCCTTAAAACATGCACTAAAAATTTCTACAAGAACTGGTACTCACAGAAAACAGAGAAGACGACGAAGCGGACGAAGCTGCTAAGGGGAAAAGGGAGCAGGCTCTTATAACCCCTTAGAGCCGGCTCCTAGAAGGTAGAGCCGGCTCTAGGATGTTGTAGAGCCGGCTCTAATGAGCCCAGAGCCGGCTCTGAAGAAAAGAAGAGCAGGCTCTTTTAATTTCTAGAGTCTGCTCTCTCTTAAACTGTCCAGAAACTGCATTTTGTGGTCCGTTTGGCCGAGGTTTGAATTTTTTTAATTAATTGAAAGCTACTGAAGGTTGTAATTTAAGGTTTAAGACTTATAAAAGTGTTGGGGAACAAGCCTACATTCAAATAATGAGGATGGAATTAATCCAAACTTAGATAGAAAACTGGTAGGAGGATGAATGGAAATTAAATTTCTGTTGTGTACTGATTTTGGAATTTTGCTTCCTCTACCAAATCTTAAACTGCTAATCATGTTTATGTTGTGACACAAGCATATAGTAGTATAGTCAAATGTATGCATGGATGGAATTAACTAATCGTGTAAACGGGATATGGATTGCATCAGTTATGGTAATTGTTGGAGAAGTAAATTGCATGTCTTTGTTTGTCATTTAACGGACTATAATTTGGATTTCTTGGTTTAATACTATTTTAATTATATTTACACAGTTTTCTAAGCTTAGTAAATTCTTGGAATTAGCTATGTTTGGTTGGAAGTAAATTGATATAACAATTCAGTTAATTTTATCAATTAGTGGACTTGATGCATGATGTAAATGCTATATTTTATAAATAACAAATTTAATGGTTGGAATATAATTTCTAGGCCTGGACTGAATGCCTAAGTTTTATAATTATGGATTAATTTGGTTTGTGCATAGTTTGGGAGTTGGGTTGATAACTATTTAGTACTGTTTTATTAACTCTGTTAACTGGAGGATGGTATGTACCGGTATGGGACGATGACATACTTGGTATGGGCTAATTCTAACACTAAGTCCTACCTAATTTGGATCAAGGTATGGATTAATCATAAAGGTTAAGTCCATCACCTACATGTGTCATATCAGTTGTGAATTGAATGACCTACTATGATTTCAGGATGGATTTTTTATACATATATCAGACCATTACATAGATGGATGGTATACTGTATTAGGAGGAGTACAGACTTTATATATATATTATATGGTGCCGTGGAATGAGCTTGAGTCTCATGACCATGGTTAGGGCGCGTATATCGCCTATGATGGATAACTGGACATAGGTGTTGTTCCCTAATAGGTCTAGGTACTCATGCCCACCCTAGGGTGCGTATTCGCATGTTGCCTTCTATTCATGCTGAGACAAACCTACTGGACTAGCGAGTATCCTATAGTGTGTACTATATACATATATGCACTACTCTAGATATTATTGAGTCTTCCTAGGATGTATCTGCGTATCGGATTATTGTTTGGATTGTAGTAGATCAGGACTTGCATGTGGGCCTGACCCACTCTTTTATTTTTCAGGTGCTCGTCAGTTCCAGGGTTAGAGCTTGGATGTGCGGAGCAGATACAGCTATTCATTCCTTCGATTATGTAGGAATCTTCTCTATGTTAGCCCTGAGATTTTATATTTATTATTTCAGTATTGGCTTGAGAATTTTTAATAAGGGGTCCAATGGATGGATTCCCGAGTTGTAAACCTATGGAGTTTGGGATTTATCAGTTTTCAATAATTATATTATTTTAAGGATTTTCAATTAGCATTCTTTCAGCTTACTATTATTATTATTTATTTCATCTTGTACTCTGTGTTCAATGACATATTAATTGTTTGATATCCCTCGGGTTTGGGCCTGGGCCTGATCAACCCGTGTCTCGGATCCGTGAGGTACCACACTTCTCCCCTAATTGGGGCATTAAATGTTGCTTGGCCGCCGGTTAGTCAAGCCTGACACAACATTAAATTAGATTTTAAGGTTTGCTGTCATAATGTATATTATCTCATCATCTTGTTAATTAGGCCTTACTAAGAGTGAAGGTGCTTCTTGATTTCTCATCCACCAATCCAAGATCCTCCTAAGTTTCCCAACTTTAGATCCCTCACAGCTGCGAAGGCCCTACCTTCGTTTCGTGTTGTGCATGGACCTATGGCATTCTGATGACGAGCTCTCTGAGGCTCTGATCTTTCAACATGTTACAGGCCTGGCATGGTATCGGGCTTATAGTTACTCGAGGTCTTGAGGCTTAGTGGGCCTAGTTTTGGCGCTAGGGCTTGTGGGTGCTCAAAGACTTGGAACTCGAGGCTTAGTGGGCCTAGTTGATGCCAGGGCCTGCGGGTGCTCGAAGGCTCAGCCTTCGAGGCTTAGTGGGCCTAGTTTGGTGCCAGGCTTGTGAGTGCCCAAAGTCTTAATCCTCGAGGCTTAGCGGGCCTGGCTTGACGCCAGGGCTTGTAGGTGCTCGAAATCTTGATCTTTGAGGCTTAGCGGGCCTGGCTCGATGCCAGGGCTTATGGGTGCTCGAAGTCTTGGCTTTCGAGGCTTAGTGGTCTTGAGGCTTAGTTTGTCTGGCTTAGTGGGCCTGACTTGATGTCAGGGCCTGTCTTGGCTCTCTTGACTTTTCAACTTTGCCACAAAGTCTTGTATTGACTTTTCTTCTTGCCATGTCAGCAATTGATGATCGACACCCACATCATTTTAATGTATCCTAACGCCGTGTGATGAGACTCACTATTCTAGCAGGTGGTCGGTGGGTTTCAGCCAACTTGACCTAGATAGCATTTTGCAAGATTTGTTTCAACTGAATTGACCCGGATGGTATTTTTATTATATAAATATGCAGGGTTTACACAACATCTCACTTGATCAAATAGCATTTAATTCAAATGCACATATATGGTGTTCTAGCATCCTCAAATTGTAATTTAACTCTCACACACTGCATAAACCCAATTATTATTATTATTGGGCATCATTGGACTAACCTGTATCAATCAGGCAAATCAGCTTATATACTATGTACCCTCTCTCACTAAAAGGTTTTTTTAGTTGAAAAGAGACGTACGGATGATGATATGTTGATAAAAATAAAGGTTGAATTTTATATATTAGCGGTTTCATTCGTCCGACTTTATCCGAAATAGATGGCTGCAAAATCTGATCCCGTTGAAAGAGAATAAAACTTAAAATAATAATAATAATAACAAGAAAATTAAAAAATAACAAGAAAATTAAAAAATAACAAGAAAATTAAGAAATTCATGTATTCATGCACACAAACCAAATCAAGAATTTTGTGTCAACGTAGAAACAGTATTCAGGTGATTCAAGACACAAACAAGCCCATCATTGTTCAACCCAATTTTCAAAACTGATTGAATTATTTAATAATAAATCAATGAATGAATGTCGTCGCCGGCAGGGCATTCAAAATCTGATGATAAATCCGACATGACTAAAGCCGCCGTCACCACCACCACCACCAACCCCACCAGCCCCACCAATTCTGACAATTCCGTCAAGACTTACAAGAAAAAGATGGTAAGTCCATTTATATTATTTCTTAATTTTAATAATAAAAAAATGAATATCTTTTATTCATTTATATTGTTAATTCTTAATTATTTTAAAAAAAAAATGTTTATGATCAATTCTAATGATTTATCTTTTGATTCAACGTTCTGGGATCGAAGTCAATCCTTCCAAAGATCTTTAGTTCCAAGCGAAACTCTAGACAAAACTCAGAAGATGATTTGTTACAATCAGATGCAGCTATTCTTGGTCTCTTTTCTCTCTCCCAAATATATATTATATATTTTGCACCAATAATATATATATATATATATATATATATATATATATATATATATATAGTATTCAAATATATACAATTTATTAATTTGTTTTTGGTTGTTTGGGGGACAGAATTTGATGGGAAAATTACATCAAGAAGCAAAGCTTTCCTGGAAACTTCTCCTGTCATCAGAAAAAGTTTTTCAGGTAGAATTTTTTATTTGGTGCATGCATTAGTGTTTTTATGCATTGTGCATGTGCCTCAAATCACTGTCATATTATGTATATATCATATCATCATATTATATGATATCTAATAAATTAATGTACTTTTATATTTGAATCTGGGTGATGAGTCAACCTTGTTTTTAATGCATGTTTCTTCATATGCAGCTAAAATTTCAATTATGCAGCAATATATATATATATATATATATAAATGATGCATGATATAGTGTTATATACATAGGTGAGTCAGTTCTGACTGAATCTGTGTGATGAGTGCAAGCCATGTACACATGAATCAAAAGACCAAAACCTTCCTTATCTGCGTGGCTTGTATATATGATATGGTAGCTCACCTAACTGAAGACTAAAGTATATATTGAATTTATTGATTATATATTGCTCTAGATCATTAGAATTTTGTAAGTAAAATATTAAAAAATTACTCATATTGAAAATGACCCTTAATTTGGACATTGTACTGAAAACATGTATATTATTAGACTTAGGACATGGAGAAAACAAAAATATATGTGGTACTAATTTCTAATGTACTCTCAGAAAGACACAAAGGTCATGGGATTGAAGGGCTAAACCTATCAACTTTTGAACATTCGATGGCACCGGAGACTGTAGCTAGAGATTTCCGGTATGAAAAGTGTATCAATTTTATTTATTTATTTATTTTTATGTTCGTCGTGATTAGGGTTATGTGTTGCCTTAGTTTTAATGGTGATGTGCTTCATGGTTGCAGGGTATTTGTCGCGACGTGGAATGTGGGAGGCAAGACTCCCCACCATGATCTTGACCTTGAAGATTTCTTGCAAGTGGAAGGATCCTCAGACATATATGTCTTGGGGTATGATAATTCATCACTACTCCATTTGATCAAATGTTTCATATTTACATCACTTGCATTAAAAGTGAGTAACAACATCTTCATTTAATTGTCACAACATATGGTTTCTAGCAAAATTATTAATTCGACTATTTTTTTTTTTTTTACATGTTCCATAACTATTTTCGATCATGTGTGTAAAACCGAATTAGAATCACAAATTATTATACATTTCTAAGGGATAACCATAATAATAAATTTCTAAGGAATCAATTTGTTGGTAGTTTGTGTTATGTTCAACAAATTGGCTGTTTTTTTTTATTTATTTTTTATTTTCAGGTTTCAGGAAATTGTTCCCCTAAATGCAGGAAATGTACTTGTGAGTGAAGACAATGAACCTGCAGCAAAATGGCTAGCCCTTATAAGCCAAGCACTTAACAAACCACACCATGACTCCATGAACCCTAACTCTGATTCAAGCCATGGTTCGAAACACTCACACACTAGTTCGAAGGACTCTAAGTCCCATTTCTTCCAAAAGCCATCACTAAAAGTCCTCAGTAAGAGTCTCAAGGTGGACAGCAGTCTTGTCAAGGCCTGCAACTGCCCTCTGGGCTCGTTGGTCCAAAACAGGCGGAGGCCAAGAAGTGAACCCTGCACTTCTCCTTACATCGCTCGCAATCCTGATATTGAAGACTTGCTTTCAATTGCAGAAATACCTACCTCACCTTCCTCGCCTAACGGGATGAATTACCGCATTATAGCAAGCAAGCAGATGGTAGGGATATTCCTTTCTGTCTGGGCTCGAAAAGAATTAGTTGAACACATTGGCCATCTCAGAATTTCCTGTGTAGGGAGAGGAATCATGGGCTATCTTGGCAACAAGGTTAGTTCTGATCTTTACAAGTTGTTTCCATATAAGAGGATAGACTATGGTTCTGTTTTTTTCCTCATCAAACAATTTCAGGGGTATTTTAGTAAATGAAGATGGACTAAGACTTCCACTTGGTACGCATTATGGTAAATGTAACAAGGGTCATTTTGTCCCACATCGGAATCGGATAGGAAAGAGATTGGGTATAAATGAGTGGGTATGCAGCACTACCCAATAGTTCGAGCTTTTGGGTAAATGGGTAAGCGCCCATCCGTCACAGTTGGTATTAGAGTCAAACCCAGTTCTTGATTCGGTGCCACGCCAAGCGCCCGGCCCGGAAGGCGTTCGGGTGAGTCCACCCGGGTAGGCAGGGTGGCCCAACCGCAACGAAGGCGTTGCGAGTTTGGGTGGGGGAGAATGTAACAAGGGTCATTTTGTCCCACATCGGAATCGGATGAGAAAGAGATTGGGTATAAATAGGTGGGTATGCAACACTACCCAATAATTCGAGCTTTTGGGTAAATGGACAAGCGCCCACTCGTCACAGTAAACTACTTTAAAATATTATCTTAAAATGATTATCAACACCTCATTGTTTTCAAATTTGTTACTTCATTAGGGCCTTAAGTCTGACTTATACAATTTCTTATGATTTTTACTAGATTAATTTAGTAGCCTAGTTGAAAGAGGGCCTAGTTCTCCGACCTGGTGTGCCCGTGTTAGAATTCTCCTTCTCCTAAGTTGCCAAAAAAGAATAACATGTGAGAAAAATCTTGACACTTAAAAGTAACTTAAAAGATCGGTTGTAGAATATAAAAATTCATTCAAGATATGATGATCTAAGAAAATATATACATTGAATGTTAATTCAATTTTAATTTACAATGAAGTGACTGCAGACCCTTCCATTTCTCCTTTACTTTTGTTTTTGTTACTATCATTTTTTTTGTAAGTAAAGTTATATTAAAGAAAGAACTATATAAGACAAAGGGATTTGAATCCTCTCCAATGTTAGAGAGTGTCTCATCATCCGATGATACAATCTCCGTTACAAGACTCTCTCCAGCGCGGAAGAGGATCCATACTCACAAGAGGAGCAAAGTTTCCGAAAAGGAGCAATGGCACCAATCAGAACCTAACTCACATCTAAGAGGTTACGAAAAATACGAAAAACTGGCCAACAAAAGGGAATTAAACCTGAATGATATGATATATGAATTGTGAATATATATATGCATCTCTGAAATAAATTTTAAAATTGGTTTTATTGCAGGGGTGTATATCCATAAGCTTGTCATTGCATGAAACAAGCTTTTGCTTCGTGTGCAGTCACTTGGCGTCGGGGGAGAAAGAGGGGGATGAGCTGAAGAGGAATGCCGATGTGTCTGAAATCTTAAAGGGCACACAGTTTCCCAAGATCTGCAAGAATCCAGTTCGTCGAATCCCGGAAAGAATTATGGATCATGAGTAAGTTCATGCTGCATGATCTCATCATTACTATGAGAAATTAATATCGGCTTTAATTTACTTCGTTTCTTGCATTTTTTTGTTTTTATGTAAAGTAAGATATGTGACCTTGTAAGCCTAATGTTGCAGTCGATTAATTTGGCTTGGGGACTTAAATTATCGGGTGGCTTTGAGCTATGACGAAACTAGGGTTTTGTTGGAGGACAATGACTGGGACTCCCTCCTAGAAAAAGATCAGGTTTGTTGCTTAAATAATAAAAAACATTTTATGAAATGTGAGTGATGATGATTCTTTTATATGGTTTGGCTTAGTTTCTAAAAACAGTTCTCAAAAACTTAAAACAGTTTTTAGAAAATAAAACTTTTTTAATCTGAGTTTTTTAAAAAATAATTCCAACTAGACAAGTTTATATACAATTTTACATTTCAATTCTTTAAAAATAGAAAATTGTTCTCCGAGAACTAAACCAAATAGTCCCCATTCTTCCCAAACTTGCTGTTGGGAATCCAATTCAATAATCGGATAAAATGGAATTTTGCTAGCTATAGTATATATTTATGAAGCTTACCATTTTATGGTACTTAGACTAACTTTAAGTTTCTAAATTTTGGGAACAGTTGAACATGGAGAGAGAAACAGGAAGAGTGTTCAGTGGGTGGAAAGAAGGAAGGATTTTCTTTGCCCCCACTTACAAGTACTCACATAATTCAGACTCCTACGCCGGAGAGACCGTCAAGTCCAAGAAGAAACGCCGAACCCCTGCATGGTCACTCTCTCTATCTCTAGCTCACTCTTACAAATAGAACGATACTGTTCGATTTTAAAATTTTTTATTACGGTTTAATTTCAGTTTGAAGTTCAAAAGAACTAACAAAACAAGTGACGAAGGGCATCGTTGGAAAATAAATAAAATTGAAGAAAAATATTTTTAAAATAAAATATTAAATATAAGAAGAAAAAAAAAATGTGGGGTAAAAATGTGAAATTGAGTATTTTAAAAAATTGAGTGGGGTATTTCTGTTATTTTATTTGAAACTATAGGTGATAATGTAAATTGGAAAATATTGAGTGGGGGCATTTTGAAATTTTTAATTGACATATAGGTAATAATATAAATTGGGAAAATTGAGTGGGGGAATTTTTGGAATTTTAGTTGAAACTATAGGTAATAATGTAAATTGCAAAATTGAGTGAGGACATTTTTAAAATTTTAATTAAAAATATAAATAATAATGTAAATTACAAAAAAATTCAGTAGGGCTGGGCCAGAATTGAGTCCATGCTTGGCTATATATTTGTGTATATATAAATATATAGATTGTTCATCTGTTTTATGTTATGTAAAAAATTTATGCACAAATTAAATTTTAACCATTGGATATTAAAGTATCCCACCAAAGAGCAAATGAATCAAAATACATAGAACCATTACATATATATATATAAATATATTAAAATTTTATTTTTTATTCTATTGGTATGTGTAAATATATATATATATATAGAAAAGTTCAAAATCATAGAATCAAACGGAACCAAAACGATCACCACAACCATTATACTACTTTCAACGGTTTGATTCAGTTTCAATATTTCTGGAACCATTGCGATCGTTTCAGAATGAACCAAATTCGAATTGTGTGCACTCTTAACTTTGTAAAATTGATTATTAATCGGTTTTGTATTGAATTTCAGGTGTGACAGGATATTGTGGTATGGCAACGGCATTGAACAATTATCGTATATACGTGGGGAATCAAGATTTTCCGATCATAGGCCAGTTTGTGCGGTGTTTGCAGTGGAGGTGGAAACGAGGAACAGAAGCACAAAGTTCAGGAAAGCTTCCACAAGAGCAGATTATGAAGACTGCATACCTAAAAGGCATAGCCTCTATGAGTTCTAACTTATAAGCTTGCTCCTCAAATTTTGTATATTTTTTAGGGTATTTGAGGAATAAGTTGCATGCCTTTTTTTTTAACTATACTAAATCCTAATCTGTATATCCTTTTTTGTCTCTTTTCAAAAAACGTAAGAGAAAATATATATAACTAGTAATCTGAATTTTCTAAAAATGAGATTAATTTGTATCATAACCTGTATACGTATTAGGAGATCGAAAATAATAGAAAAAACTATATAAAGCATTAGAAACTTAGCTATCAATTTTCTTGTTTAATTCACAGGAGGTACTAACTCATTAGACTATCGACATCTACGTGATAATTACAGTATTGGATCATGTTTTGTATAGTTTTTTTTTAATAATAAATATTTTTCGGAAATTCAAGCAATTTTTATAAATTTTAAAATATGTACAGAAGGCCACAGCCCATAGAAGGAAATATAAAAGAGCCCATTACGAAGGGCCAATCTGAATAAGAAGAATCCACACACATCAGGGCCTTACGCCACTTACAAACATTTGGAAACCAACAACGGTAACAAACTCTGATCCGGTGAAACAGTCATTAATGGCAACGCACACGACCAGGAGGAGGTCGGATAAAGGAAGAAGGAAGATCCCAAACATCGCGGGCACGCCGGGCACACCGTGATTGATAAAGGCGAGAGTGTTTCGTGATGGAATTTGTGATTTTCAACATAACATTATTTTATTTTATTTTTTTCTTTAGAATACGTGTATCGGCCTCACAATACGCGTATCATTTAAGTTAGGGGTGCGGTTCGAAAGCGAGATCTCAAAACCTTACCTCCCAAATCACTACCAACGCTACTAGGGATGGCAATGGGGCAGGTTGGGATGGGTTTCTTAATATCCATCCCCATCCCGTTTAAATTTGACACTCCCAAAACTGCCTCATAACCGATTATTTTTTTGCCCCTAATCCTCATAACCGCCCCTTTCTCTCCCCCGCCTCGCCACTGCCCCGGAAAAAAAGAGAGAGAATATGGTGAAGGACTGATGGAGGTCGAATGATGGTGTTGATTTGCTTCATCGCTCGGTTAAGGCTGTGGAGAATTGTGGCCAGAGAAGAAGAGAGAGAAGATCTGAAGCCGTAGGATGTTCGCTTCGTCGCGTCCAGCTTTGTTCTTAGGCTCTTATCTCTCAGCTGCTGCTTTAGAAGATAAGAATGAGTAGGGTTTATTTAGAAATATATATATAATATATCATGATATATATATATAATATGTTAAATTGGTAAGTACAATAACATGACAGAGATTAATAGGAGTAATTTCATATGTAATCGGGCCGGTTGCGGGGCTGGGTACCCCGCCCCCACCCCCAATCCGGTCGATTTTTTTTTTTTTTTTTTCCAACCCCCATCTCCACCTCATTTAAATAAACGGTTCTCCAAACCCACTATGCCACTGGAGGCAACATAACATAATTTTGTGAGCTTGGTATGTTTTTTGAATAAATAATTAGAATCACGTTTGGTAATGTCCATTTTTGAATGAAAAATATAAAAATATGTTTGGTAAATAAAGTGTTATAATTTTGAAAAATGTAATGGTTAATTTAAAAATGTCATTTATATAATTTTCCCTTTAAGAGTTTTTTATATATATATTTTTTTTATTGTTCATCTTTGCAAGCCTGCAATAACCATTGTTACGTAAACATGTAAAAACACCAAATTGATATTTTTATTTTTAGTCAAAGATAGCTATAACCTCCAAAAGCTCCTCTACATTGCCAAAAAAATAAATAAAATAAAATAAAATAAAAAATTATTTTAATATATATATATATATATATATATATATATATATATATTATTAAAGATTAAAACTGCTCACACACCAAAAAAAAAAAAAAAAATAAAAAAAATTACATTTATATAAAATAAATCAAAACGTATTTCCGGGCTGTGAAATCATATTTACCTTTTGCCTTCATCAACTTTTCAAGATAAGCATGATCAATACCCTCCTAGTTTCTTTCTACTTTTTTTTTTCGTTTTATCTTTTTAATTTTCTTTTTCCATTCTTTAATTTTTTGTGAAGCATGACTATCAAAACCATATTTTAGGACTTTTCTGCGTATCAATGAAGCCAATTTTAATAATCATTCATCCCACCACTCGTGTAGAGCATCTTTATCATCATTCAGCTAAAACCAAAAGAGCTGTTAAAAGTTAAAAATAGTGAATGGAAATCAATTTCAAATCATGAACCTATAATTACCATCTCTTTTGCAAACCTGAATTAGTTACTTAAATTTGAAATTGAAAGAAATTTAATTAAAATTTGAATTAAATTTTCTTCAATTATAAAGCATAAATGCTGATTAGAGTTAGTCCAATGAATTAGTACCCTTCAATTATTTCCATCTACTAATCTAACATTTAACACTTTGGATCGGTTTATTTCGATATAAAATATTTTTTTAAAAAAATATATTTTTCTTTTTCAGGTAAAATAATATTTTATTTTCACTTTTTCCATTTTTGACAAAGATCTATGTCAAGGTTAAGATCGAGTTCATCGGGCGGGACATATAAAATAACTTGTCGAAAATTGATGGATAAGTTAAATTTTATTTTTTTCTTTTTTCGTAAATATTTTACAACAACCAAAGACCAGTAAAAACATATTTTTTCAAAATATTTTATATCCAAACAAACAATGCCTAATTTTTTGCTGTCAAACGCAACATAATTTCGTTTCAATCTCCCGCTTAGATAAAATAAGAAAGTAAAATAAAATGGATATGAAAACGAGTTATAAAAAAAATTGGTATGAAAAATTAAAAGGTTGGGTCCCAAACAAAGCTAATAGAGTTTCCTTTTCATTGCTTAAAGATGGAAGCAAAAGAGGCTACTTTGGTATCTTTTAACTTGGGCACACAATCAAAGCTCAAATAAACCTCCCTTTAATTTTACTCTTTTGGTGAGGATGGCAATCCTTTTTTTTGACCAGCTATGAATGGCAAATTAAGCAAAAGGCATTGAGAATATTGAAGCAAACACAAGGGCCCTAAAAGCCACACATGGATCCACAAAATGCAACGTCATGCTCAAAGCCCACAAGATAATCTGGACACAGTATCAGTGTAGTCACACTCATTGACATGAGGTTTAGTTGGTGCCCAGGGATGGCAATTTGCCTCCCGCTCCGTTTATAACAATTTTGAAAAATCCTTTAATTTATTTCAGTGGAAATAATTTTTATTAATTAAAATTAATTTACCTTAAAAAGACGGGTACCCGTCCCATCCCGTCTCGTTTATAACGATTTTGAAGAATCGTTTAGTTTACTTAGACGGGAATGATTTTTATTAATTAAAACCCATGCGGGTTCGGGACGGGGACAGAGGTGGTCACCCCACCCCGCGCCCGCCCTATTTAAGTATGTAAATTATTAAATTATCCATATTTTATTAATATATATAGTTAGCTCTAGAAATTTTAAGTTATACTCACTCACTTTCTCAACCGTTCTAGTGAGCGGCAGAGCCTTACGAATTAAAAACGCTCATATCCTTAGAATTTTATGTTAAATTATTGATTGTCCATTTTTTTTTATGATTTCCTTAAATAAAAATAAAAAAATGAAGAGAAAATTTGAAACTAAATGAGGCGGGTGTCCGCGGGGTAAAAAAGTAAAACGATTTTGGGCAGGAACGGAGCTGGGGTTTTTAAACTGTTGTGGGAGTGGGGGAGGATATACCCACCCAAAATTGCCCCCGTTGCCATCCCTAGGCCCAGCGGTTGGGAACTCCTCGCAGTGTTAGGAGCCAGGTTTTGACCCCCCTCCCCAAACCAATCTCTCACTTCGAGACATTAACCAATGACCTAGTTGATAGAGTATTTAATTTTTTGAACTAGTGTATCCATGTTTGAGTCTTTCATAAAATTAGCCATTAATCAGTTAGAGTACTCAAGTTTAAGTGATTAGTATGTTTTTTTCTTGACAATTTTAGAAGTAAACCATGATAAAAATCACTCCCCACTAAATTTCCTTAATATTTAGCTTTGAGAGTTATTGCATATATTTGAAATTGAAGGTTCAAAAGTCTTCGGAGTGAGAATTTTTTTTATATAATTTATTTATTTATTTTATAATAATATATTAGATTTTGAATTGTGACAATTATTTTAAAACACTAAAAAATAAAAATATGAAAGCTTTTTATAATAGGAGGGAGTGAGTATATTATTTAAAATTAGTCACTTTGCAATTAAGAAGATATGAACTCATTATTCACTTTTAAGAAAAGAAGAAATGCTATTATGTTATTATAAAATACTAAAAAATAATTTTTATACGAACTAGTTGCAGGACGCTAGCATTAGTAATTTCTTGTTTGATGGCCTAATTATGGCATCAAATTTTAGACATTTACATATGATCTAACAACCCTTTATTTATTTACAGTATTTTTTATAGATTTAAAAAGGCACTTTTCCAAGACTGAACCAGTCCAAAAGAGCTGGTGGGTCCAACCATTGTTGTGATTGATTCTAATCCTAACCAAACCCGCCCAAATAGTATTTTTCATTTAAATTACTTCTTTCACATTGTCCATTCTAATTTAGCAGCCCAAGTGAAACAAATCTCCATTACATATTGCTGATTCACACGGCAATACCCACTCCGCCCCACTTCCCCCAAATTTTCTCAGGAAAAGCGAGGAAAAGAAAAGAAAAGAAAAGAAAATTTGCCATCCCACCCCCTGGAAAACCGGATTTAAAGTAGCCGTTAGATTGTCTCTCGGTTACCAAGGGGCAGTTCTGTCATATACACACTTCCCAATAAATAACAGTCATTAATCTTACAGCCTTACACTACATAAAAAAAGGTAAGAGTTTCCCTCGTTTAATGCTCCCTTTTCTGTAATCTGTACCAAAATCACAATCTAGAGAGAGAAAGTGTGCTTCTTAGAGAGATCAAATCTGAGTTTTGGTTGAGGGAGAAATTATTACGCTTTTTACAGAGAGAGAGAGAGGAGTGACTGGTCCAAAGTGTCGTTTATTTTAGTTTTCGTTGAAGAACTGTAATGAATGTAAGAATATCGCCACACACATCGAGGCTCCTCCTCGGTGTATATTAACTGTAGGAGATTCTCTCTCTACATATATGTATACTATATATATATATATATATACACTTTTTCACATTTCATTTTCTCTTGGGTTTTTCTTTTCAGTTTTTACCCTCACCGTCTCTGCAAAACCTCTGTTTGAAACCCTGAAAAGTGGACTGATTCAACATAGATGTCAATACATTGATTTGCTGCTAATTTATTCTGGTTTCCTTTGACGGGTTAGGATTTTATGACTCCACCAACTCACTACTATGTGCCCACTTCCTCAGCTTTTGCCTTTTTCATCATCACGGATAGTGAGTTTGTAAAATTGTTTGTCATTTTTCATCTGGGTCTAGTGTTCTAAATCTTCTAAACAAATGATTCACCAGGTGGTTTTTGGACATGAAGAACTCAATTCGTCTTGGGGCAGAAAAGGGTTGCTATGTTTCGCTCGGGTTTTCAACTTCAAAGCCAGGCTCTGAAGTAGGAGGTTTGTACGTTTTTTTTTTTTTTTTTTTTTTTTTTGTCTTCATTTTCCTAGTGGGTTTTGATATTTCAGGGATTTTGTTTGGATTCTTAGAAAATGGGTTTACTTTGATGAATTCATCTTCCTAGTGGATTTTTGTTATTTGGGCGATTGTGTTTTGATTATTATAAAATGGGGTTACTTCCATGAACTGGTTTGTTCCATTTTTCCCCTTTATTTTCCCTGGGGTTTTGATATTTGAGGGATTGTGTTTGGATTCTTAGAAAATGGGGTTACTTTCTCGAAACGGTCTGCTCCATTCTTTTTCTTCATCATTTTCCTAGTATTCGTTGTTATTTATTTATTTTATTTTATTTTTATTTGGGCGATTGTGTTTGGCTTCTTAGAAAATGAGTTTACTTTCATGAACTGCTTTGATCCATTTCTTCATTTTCGTAGTGGGTTTTGATATTTCAGAGGGATTGTGTTTGGAAGCTTAGAAAATCTGGTTACTTTCATGAGCTGGTTTGTTCCATTCTGAGGGGAAAATGGGTTCTGTAAGTTCAAAAGCCGAAAAGACCGATGCTCTGCGACTTTGCAAGGAAAGGAAGAGACACATCAAGCAAGCTATTGATTCGAGGTATGCTTTAGCAGCTTCTCATGTTGCTTATGTTCAATCTCTTCGAAACATTGGCATTGCTCTGCGTAGATTTGCCGAGGCGGAAGTGCTATTAGAGTCATCCATGTCCACTTCGGCCACTGAACTTGACAAAACCCCATCACATTCTTCCTATCCGTCACCCTCTCCTTCACACATAGCCGAAGTTTCGGATTCACCTCTGCAAAATGGGAGCCCCCTTTCCCCTCTTGTGTCTCGATTGAGTTATATGAGGTTAGGAGGGACTAGTTCTGTGACTGTTAGAGTCAATCCATCTAGTTTTAGTTATGTGGATGATAGTGAATCTATGTCATTTTCAATGCCGCCACCTCCGCCTCCTCCTCCTGAGTGTGGGTCTTCTTGGGATTTCTTTGACCCCTCTGATGATTGCGAGAGCTTTAGGTTTGTGAGACAGGATGGACTGCATTTTGATGATATGAGAGTGTATAGACAGGTCACTGAAGAAGATGTTGGTTTAGATGGCAATAATGATGGACTTCATGAAGGACACATGACCCCTGAGTCGGAGCATAAGCTGTATAAAATTTCCTGCAATTCAGCTTCTCGAAATGATGGGTGTGATCGATTGATAGCAAACAATGTCCATTCAATTAGAGCTGAAGGAATTGATGGTGGTAGACAGACACTTAATGGTAGAGTGAAACAATCGGACACTGAACAGTGTGCGAATGTTCCAGCTGGATCTTTGATAGACAAAGCTGCTTTGAAGCAGTCGAGCTCCAAGAGGGATAGGAGTGTGGTGGACAAAGACATACATGCAGTAAGAGAGGATCCTTCAGAATTCATTACCCACAGAGCTAAAGATTTTCTCTCAAGCATAAAGGACATTGAGCATCGTTTCTTTAGAGCATCTGAATCTGGCAAGGAAGTTTCCAGAATGCTTGAGGCGAACAAAATCCGGGTTGGATTTTCAGAGGCAAAAGGTAATTATTTGTGGTTAGTAAGTAAAAGTTTGTTTCACAATATTGATTTTTATTTCAATGTTTGAACACTGCAATGTAAATGTCAATTATTAGTTTATATGTTTAATTCCTGAATTCCCTGCTTGAGATCTTATTATTGTAGGGAGGTCATCAGCATCAACTTTATTGGAGGCTTTCCAGCTAGTTTGTTGCCAGAGAGAGACTGCACTTGTTTCTCGAGGTAAATCTCGAGGTAAATATTGTCTTACATATGAGCACAAATAATCACCAATGAACAAAGTTGTGATAGTGCTTAGGCATTTTAAGAAGCTTAGTGGGGGTGAGAATTACATCCTAATAGTTGCAGAAAGTTGTGTCATCTGCTTGTAGTCAACTTTAAAGGATAGGATCCATTCAGTTCATGGACCAGTATGGTTATCTATCTTTTTAAATATATGTAAATGTTATATTTCCATTTATTCAATCTAGGTGAAAAGGGCAAGAGTGTGTCTGTGAAACACAAAATTTAAATTGAAAACGCAAGTAAATAAGTGGAGTTGCTTTGGTTCTGGGGCGAAATTCTATTTATATCAAATTAGGCTATTATAAACATAAGATACAGTGCCCTTCCCAGCAGCAGACCAGTTGGGGATTGGCATTTTTGTATCAGTGAAAGGTACAGCCATCTGATGAGTGACAGGTCTCTCAAGCCACAGGCAATTACATTTCGGACCAATGGGTTGATCGGAAAAATTATTTCCCATCTTTTCTTACCTTAAACATAATCCAGTTCTTAATATTTACAGAACCTCCACAACATATGGCAAAGATTATCACTTGGAACCGTTCAACATCTTCACAGTCATCTTCATCAAGGAATCCTCTTGCTACAGCGTCAAGAGATGACAACGACGACAGTGGAAGTGATTTTGCTGAAGAGTTCTGCATGATAGCAGGAAGCCACTTCTCTACTCTGGACAGACTGTATGCATGGGAAAGGAAACTCTATGATGAAGTAAAGGTTAGTTACCATTAAATTGAATGCCTTCTTATCAATTTTTTAGAATCTCATGCTGCATGCACTGTAAATGGGCTGTCCTTTGAAGTGGTTCATCATCAATAGTTCTTCATCTGGAAAATGCATATTACTCTCTATTTATATTCATAATAAAGAGAAAATAAAACATTATAATCTTCTTGATTATTTTTGTTTTAGTTTTCATATTTTATGCATTTCGAATGTTTCTTAGTAATTTTCCCATAGATTTTTTATTTGGAATTTTATAATCTTATTGCTGTTGGAATTTTATCCAGAAATGTATCAGTATAAATTGTGCTCATAACATTTTAGCTGCATGTGATACATATAAATTATATATAATATATGTGTTCTACATACATGTTATAGCAGCTTCTCGTAAAATACGTCATAACTGATATACTATGTTGATGTGAGGTTCTAGAGAATGAGGAACCACTTTTAACTATAACTTAGCCACAAGTTGGTAGAGGGCTAGTTGGAAGTCCAAGATGTCACACAAGGGGGGGCCATTCGAGGGCCAGAGGAAAAGATTGGGGATAACTCTTGCGATCTCCCTTAGGTTGAAGGTGAAGTAGCTTAATGTTAAATGCTCTCTTACTTGGGTTGTTGGTTAGTGTAAATGACACATTAACTCTCTATTTGTGGTGAAGGGGGTTGCCCATCGGTCCTTAGTCAGATGAGGATGTGACTATTTGGAGTCTCAAGGCGATGTTTGCTCCATTATGGTAAAAAAGGGGGGACAAAGTATTTAATGCAACCATGACAAGGTAATTATTGCATTAAATGAGACAGTTCTGATGCTTTCTTCACTCTAGGAGAGATCACTTCTCTTCCTTCCTTTGTAGTAGTCAAATTGTGACAACATGCTCCTTGAGCCGTGGTGGCATCTCTTTGACGTCCATTAAACCTCAGCTTCCAAGCCATTATTCACTGGTTCCGTGGCGAGGATGTTGCATCGTCGTCTTGCCACTGAATCATTAAATGATAGAGGAAACACTGAGCCGGCAAATTGGTGGGTTTGAAGGTATTAGGACAATCTTGTTCCTCTTCATGTTGTGAGAGGAATTGGAGCACTTATTCCTTTATCCATTCTTTGAAGAGGAACAAAATAATGTCATAAAAGCTGAAGATTTAGTGTTTGTACACTTCCAATCTTCATTTTTTATATAGGAGAACCCCATAACAAAATGAAGGTAAGACCAAGATGTGGGATGTTGGAGGAGATGCATTTGACTCTTTGGAGAGTAGTGGGATACTTGATGTTTCAAATATTTCTCTTGATGAGCCAGATTTGGAGGCAGTACGAAACTGCTTTGTCTGTGTTGGTTGGCCATGACTGCCCAGAATGCTTAGGATGGTTGGGGCTGTCAACCACATTGTCTTGTTCATACACAAACAAGTAGTTATAGGCAGTTTTGTCTGGAGGCCTATATAACTGCAGTGTTGGGGCTTGTTTGGGGCAGAGAGTGTGCGTACAATATGAGAGTCTGTATTGTCTTGTTCCTTTGAAAACTTTTTGTGAGCAAAGTTATAAAGGTTGGGATTTTTTTCCTCTAAATTGTGTGTAACTAGTTCATTTTGTGCGCTGGGATTGTTTTCCCCTAAATTGTGTGTAACTTGTTCATTTTGTGCGTTGTGTGGTGTTGCCCTCCAAATTCGGTTCATCAAGAGAAATATTTGCAACCTCAAGTATATTTGTGGCATTATTTTGTTCATTCTTCAAATAGTGGGTAAAGGAATAAGTGTTCCAATTCCCTCTCACAACATGAAGAGGAACAAGGTTATCCTAATACCTTCAAAGCCAAGATTGGAGAAGTGGTGCATAAGTGCCATATAAACTCACTAATATGTCAGCTCCATGTTTTCCCTATCATTTAATTATTCACTTGCCACATATTCTTTAAAATGCACGGAAAACTTAGCAAGCTCCTCTCTAGCCTTTATTCGCTCCTCTAAATTGCAAAAATATCTTTGAAAACACTTTAATCTTTTAGTTGAAATCTCTTCATCCTTGTATGGAGGAATTATCAAAAAAAAAAAAAAAAAAAAAAAAAAATGAAAAAAAAAAACTCCCTGAAGCCATTTCGTGCTCCTCTCTAGCCTTTATTCGCTCTTCTAAATTGCAAAAATATCTTTCAAAACACTTTAATCTTTTAGTTGAAACCTCTTCATCCTTATATGGAGGAATTATCAAAAAAAAAAAAAACTCCCTGAAGCTGCTATATTACCTACAAATGAATTAAGAAAAATAATTTATTTACTTGTAAAATATATTAGAAACTTGACAATCTAAATTAAAGCCTAGAGCTTTGGAGTTAAGAAAGAAGAGGTTATCTAGGATTTAGAGTGCGTAAAATGGATTAAGAAAAATAATTTATTTACTTGTAAATATATTAGAAACTTGACAATCTAAATTAAAGCATAGAGCTTTAGAGTTTAGACTGAAGAGGTTGTCTAGGATTTAGAGTGTGTCAAGTGATGGAGTGATGTAATTGCTCTTTCCTCTCCATTAATATTTCAAACACCACCGAGAAAAAAGTTGACTCCTCATTGAATTCCAGATGTCATATGCCAAATGAAGGCAAGATGTGTCCGTATTGGCCCTCCTAAGCATTTCTTAAAAGAGGCTTTAATTTATGATTGTCCGTGTCGGTGTGAGACTATTTTTCTTTCGAGAAATTATTAGGTGGTCCGGTACCCCACCACCTCAAATGTGGTCCGGACCACTTATAGAAGTCCATGTGTCAGTTATATGAATAAAAAATACACATTAGCGGTGGTCAACCTTCTCTCTCTAACACGTTGGCAGTGGTCTTAAAAAATCATTTTTTATTTTTTTTTCCTCTCCTCTAGTCATTCCAGCTTTTCTCTCTTCTATGCACATTCCAGCCTTCTTCTCTCCCTAGAGATTGAAAAAAAAATCCAAAACTTTAGTCCAATGAGTCACCCAAAGGTACTCCAGGATCTTGGCGCTGGATCGAACTCACCATCGATTCTTTTTTTCTTTTTTTGAAGGCTGTGAGCAAGATTAGTAAAACAAATGCTTTCAATTGAATCGAATCCATCTACGGTTTGCAAAACTGATTTGCTTGCTTGGACAACGGCAACAGATTGATCGACTGAGTCCGGTGAGTGGACTCGTCTTCGAGGACAAAGATCAGAGTCTGATGCGTTGTAGTCGGTATCCTTGGTTGCGTTGCTTGGGATGAGTCCTCAACGACGATAAGAGTCTGAACTTTTGGATTATGTTTCTTGCTCAACATTAATTTTTCCATTATACTTCTTGCTGCTTTGAATTCAAAATTATTGGGGACTATCGCGAACAGCGGAAAATATAGAATTGGAGTGGAATAGGAAAAATAGTGAAAGTAGTTTTGAATTTTCTTTTAAACCCAGATTCTTTTTTTTTTTTTTTTTCAATGTCTAGAGAGAGAAAAAGCTGGAATGTGCAGAGGAGAGAAAAAAAAAGTTGAATTTTAAAGAAAAAGTGACCATTGCCAACGTGTTAGAGAGAGAAGGTTGACCACTGCTGATGTGTAATTTTTATTAATAAAACTGACACATGGCTTTTTATGAGTGGTCTGGACCACATTTGAGGTGCTGGGTACCGGACCACCTGATAATTTCTCTTCTCTTTCAGCTCCCGCTTCGCCAGTTGGTATCAAAGCCTTTATTTACCCTGGTGGCAAATGATGGTAATGGCAGCAACCACTCTAGCAATGAGAAGCGCGGAGTGCACGCCCATTAGGTAGTCACGTAAACTCTGGAACAGTGGTTCGAACAATGGATGGATATCATGATGCAGTAGATTCAACAGGGCTTCGCTAGACTTGGGATTGGTGGCAACTAAGATCGTGAAGCTGTTCGGGTTTGTGCCCGAGATTTTCCTTCAAGTCAACTAAATATGGGTAACCTTCCTGTACATCCACGTGGGCCTTCGGCCTATGGTATTCCAGTAATGAGAAGTTCCGCCAAGTTGCGGTAAATCGATGCAATCTAGGTAGACGCGACATATACCATAAAGGTCCAAACACCCATGATTTTCGAATGAAGATTAATTTGCCCAGTTTCAACGAACATCTTCACATTGAGGATTTTCCAATGGCTTAATGATGTTGAGCGCTTTTTCGAGTATATGGATTAGGATATACCCGTAGACAAATGGGTTATGCTTATACAATACAAGCTTAAGGGAGGTGTTTCCGCTTGGTGGGAACAGACAAAAAGAAACCGAAGATGGTAGGGAAAGCAGCCTATCCGAACGTGGCATAAGATGAAGAAGTTATTGATGGCGAAATTCCTACCATCACATTATGAACATATGTTTGTATCACCAATACCAAAATTGCAGGAAAAAGTCTTGGCATGTTAGCGACTATATAGAGGAGTTCTACAGGTTGAGCCAACAAGTGGAGAGATATATTGGAGGATTCCAGGTGGCGGTTCAAGATTCCGGATCTGTTGCAACCTTTATTGGTAGAATATCAAGAGTTAACCTTAAACAATTTGCTAGATTGTTTTACTGCTGTATGAGAAATTTGACATCACAAAGATTTGGTTCCCAACTCGAGTTTACCAAATTTGCAACAATACCGCATGAGTCCAACTGAGAACGAAGAGTTGCAGAGACAAATTAAGGAGTTGGTTGTTGTACTGCATTTTGATGATATGTTGGATATGGTTTGAAGATTGACTTGAGTGATTATCATCATATTCGTATTAGACTTGAAGGCATGTGGAAGACTTCTTTCAAAATGGATGAGGGACATACCTATCTTGTTGACCTTCCTGATGGAATGTTTATGTCTCCTACCTTTAATGTTGCTGATTTGTTTGAGTATGATCCATGGAATAAGTTACTTTATCCACAACCAAACTCAAGGACGAGTTTTTCTGAAGTAGAGGGGTCTAATGTAGGACAAAATAGGTTTAAAGTAATATTATATATATGTGTGTGTTATAATGGGTGGGGAACATAA